CAAATTAATTTTAGTGGGGGAAATTCTAATATAGTTAAGTTTTGGGGGTGAAAGTGTTATTTAGCCCTAATATATAAATAACCCAATTTCGTGCCCTAGCCGAGAGCCCTCTTCTTTGACTGGTTATAAGCAATTCTTAAACCCCTGGCTTTGGCTCCAAAACCCTACTTCTCCATTCTCCGACATTGTTTTTGCTGCAACGCCTAAAATCGTCTGAAGAAATGACGAGACCTAAAACGAAGAAATTCAAGCTCCAGAACCGTCTTTCCGAGGTACAAGAAATTGAGCATCTCGAATCGTGGATAGCTTCGGCGAAACCTGATTCCGGCTCCAACCCACTCGCCCTGACTCCACTGCCGGAAAAATCCCCAATCGGAAAACTACCGGACGGCTCATTTTCTCGGTACGCCGGCGTCGATAGATTCAGGCAGTTGCCACTGTCGAAGAAAACCAAAGATGGGTTGTCCGCGGCCGGGTTTTTGAAGATGACTGATATTCAGAGGGCTTCGCTCCCGCACTCGCTCTGTGGCCGTGATATCTTAGGTGCAGCGAAAACTGGGTCCGGCAAGACCTTGGCTTTTATTATCCCTGTAAGTTGGACCAAAGTAAAGTTGATTTTATTGGCTTTTGTTTGACTGGTTTACTTGCCACGATGTACGTTTTCTGGAATTGTTGGTTACTGATTCATATTAGGATTTAGGACTAAAGATTAGATTTTTATACCGGAACTTCGTATTTAGGTGGATATAAAAGAGTGGGGTACATAATTGGGTGCCATGAAAAGTGAATTTTAACTAGAAAGGAAACATGCCTATACTAATATCGGGTCGGGGTTGGGCAGGCAGTTTAACGATTGATTTGAATGGAACAGTCTTGCAGTTCCGTTACAAGGGTCAAAGTTGATCAATACGCTGCCCCAGTTGATTTGATGAAGTAAAACCATATATCCAATACTTCAGTAGTTTCATTTTGCCCTTTCTTTCCTGCAGTTTTTTTCAGCATTCGTATATTAGGTTTTATGTACTTGCTTGGAAAAGGCTGGAAACCGGGGAAGATTTTGGAATTCTCACTAGCCGTTGAATATTTGAGGTGCCGAATAGATCTAGTGTTTGTATCCTCTGGTACCGGTTATTGAGAATAAATTGGGTTTTTTAGTTGGAGGAACTGATTAAGTACTCCTCGTTATTTCTATCATGCTATCTTCCTTTCAACAATTAACTTGTTGAGGATCTATCTGTTGACTGCAGTTAGGAGTATACTGGAATATTTTTTTTTTGCTAGGATGAAATGTTAGACTGGGTAATACTGGTGTTAAGTGATGCGGAGACCTATACTTAGTGTACGAGAGTACATCATTTAGATCAGCCTGTCAATTTTGGTAGCTAAAGGCCAAATCTCGTTGATCAACCGAGTAATCTGACTATCAGGCACAGCAATCATATTAGGAAATAATCAATTGTGTGCTGTACCCACAATTGCTGATATAAATCATTTCGATTGGAAAATTATCCATCCCAATCTCTCTCTTATGCAATGCTTTTGCAGCACTGTTTTGTGGATCTGCAATTTTGTGCTTATCCTGCTTGTGTTTTTCTCTAATATTGTTGAACAGTCTCATGCTTATTATATGTAGTTCCGTCTCTGGAGAATATGAATTTGATGACGTGTTCTCTTGTCGTTCTTCAGGTCTTAGAAAAGCTATATCGAGCTAGATGGGGACCGGAGGATGGTGTTGGATGCATCATCATGTCTCCCACGAGGGAATTAGCTAGTCAGCTTTTCGAAGTACTACAATCTGTTGGGAAGTATCATGGTTTTAGTGCTGGCCTTTTGATTGGTGGTCGTAAAGATGTCGACACAGAGAAAGAGCGTGTAAACGAGTTGAATATTTTGGTCTGTACTCCAGGTCGGCTTCTTCAGCACATGGACGAGACTCCAAATTTCGAGTGTTCGGAACTTCAGGTCCTCCTTTGATGATTTACTTCACTATTCTTACTGTCATCCCTCATGTTTTCTTTTCGAGTTTAAGGATTTGATGTAGTATAATGTCTGAGTTGGGTGTAAATTTGTGGCCAGGAAACAGGTGTTAGTTCTTGATGAGGCTGATCGTATTCTTGATGTTGGATTTAAGAAAGCTTTGAATGCAATAATTTCTCAATTACCAAAATATAGACAAACTTTTCTATTTTCAGCAACCCAGACAAAGTCTGTCAAAGATCTTGCAAGACTCAGTCTGAAAGATCCAGAGTATATTAGTGTGCACGCAGAGTCTACAACTGCCACTCCAAGTCTTTTAGAGCAGACAGCAATGGTCATTCCTCTTGACCAAAAACTGGACATTTTATGGAGTTTCATAAGGGCACATCTTAATTCAAGGATACTCGTGTTTCTTTCCAGTTGCAAGCAGGTAATATTCTTCTTAACTTCTCCTATAATTTGGCTGGATATTCCTCATCCAAATTTCTTATATTTCTTATAATTTTGTCTCGACTATTCCTATGATATTTATTTGTGAACGAAGGTGATACAACTAGCTCATCCGAGGTCAGACTCGTGAGTTTGTCGACTTTCTGTATCCATGGTTCCTTGTTACATTACACCTAGTGTCATTAACATTGTTCTTAACAGCCGTTTATCTTCAAGTGTTTGCATGTATTTTGGTAGCTCGAATTTGTCATTTAGGATTGGATGAATGAGGATTTGTTGGCTGGTTATCCTTTGAATTCTTCTCGGTTTAAAAACATGCAAGCCCAGTATTGGAACTTAGTTTTACTTTCCATTCTTTATCGAGTTCTCTTCTCTCTTGTGAACCTTTTTCTATTATATTTTCCAAGCATTTTTTTTTCATTTTTTTCTTGTACGTCTAATTCTTCATAACTTTATTTATTGAGGACTTGGTGCTGTACCACAGGTGAAATTTGTCTACGAAGCATTTAGGAAACTACGTCCTGGTATTTCATTGAAATGCCTCCATGGAAGGATGAAGCAGGACAGACGTATGGGAATATATGCTCAGTTTTGCGAGGAGGAGTCTGTTCTGTTCTCCACCGATGTTGCGTCAAGAGGACTTGATTTCAATAAGAATGTTGATTGGGTTGTCCAGGTTCGTATCTGCATTAAGCTGTAAATCAAACA